CTACCCCTCCACTCCTTCCCCCTCACTCCCTCCACTCCCTCCACTTTTCCCCTCTCCCTCCACTCCTCCCCCTGCCTCCACTCCTCCCCCTCCCTCTATCTAGATTCAATGTAGATAAATTCCATCATGTATTTTTAATAAATGAGTTGAAATGAATCTTCCCTCTTTAAGTATAAATGTCCTAAGGAATCCTAAGATTAAGTTGTCAGCAGAAGGCCTGAGTTAGATTCAGTCACATAATATCTCCTTACTTTGTCCAAGGTCTGATCAGAACTAATACTGAAAACTGATCAGCTTAAAAAGTACTGAGAGAAGTATGCAGAAGTGTGTATTGGTGTAAATGTATGTTGTATCTGTGATTTTACTTCTATTCCAGTCCCATTCCTGCGGATTCCGGTCCCATTCCTCTGGAATCCACCGGAATCCGCAGGAATGACCGGAATCCTGCAGGAATGGGAGGGGCACTGTAAAGTACTGCCAAGAACGTCAAATTGCGTCAGGAATTGGTGTCTATATAAAATAAGTCTGGTACATCTATTATTCCCAAAAGTAATTTACATTTTAATTCATATCTCTCTCATTTTTTTACCAAATCGTACGTTCTTGGGTGCGTTTTAAAGGGTATTTAAGGGATTACAAAAGACCGGTCCAAACCGGTCAAGACCGGTTCACGTTAACCGGTTTTTTTGTGGTCTTTACATCTCACAAATAAAAGACCATAACCGCAGGTCCGGTCTTTTGCAGTCTTGGTCCGGTCTGGTTACAGTCTTTTTCTGGTCATGAGACCGGACTTCCAAACACTAGCCATTACTGGATGCATGAATCTGAGTGTCATTGTCTTTCATGGTAAGCTTTAAGTATCTCTTGATGGACATGGTTACTGATGAGATTGGTTGCCCAAGTAATGTGCGTGGTTGGTAGCCTCACACGAGATGGAGGGAGAATGAGGTGTGATGTTTGTGATACAGTGTAGATCTCAATGATGGGGCACTGTGCTTGTGAGATATATGAGGCTGATGGTTTCAGATGTTTTAGTCTTTGTTGACTCGATGAGCCAAGCACATTGAATGGAGAACTGAAGACAGCGAAGAAGTTAGTGGACAACAATGCCGAAAGACATCATCAGATGATGCAACAAGTGATTTCACTGCAGGACTTGTGGAACTAGGTGTAGTTTGTGATAGAAATGGCAAGATGTTGCTGGTACTTGGATTGCAGAGTTTTTCCTGTAATACCAGACAGCTCAAGCATTATTAAAGTTGCTAGACAGACAGGGTTGTCTTTTTCACTTAAAATACATGGGAGAAGTTGATGCCACCCAGCACCAAAAGCTGGGGATGATATCTATTGAAACCCCGACTGCTTGATGCCCAATGTGATTTTGCAGCTGTGGCTAGTTGCAGCCAGATCTCCATCTGCTTCAAACTTTTTTGAAGCATGGGCTTTTTTGTAGCAACCAGTTTGAAGCAGCTGCTATGGAAACTTTGAATTCCCCTATTGAGGTGGAAATTTTTTGAAAAAATCGGAAATATATTTCTGCATCATTTGGTAGCTCTAGGAAGCTGTAACACAAGATTTAAAGGAGAAAAATGAGAATTATTACAATTGGAGTATTCTGGTGAGATGCAGCTTTTTCAGAAGGATTTTGACATGGAAAAAACATATGTGGTTGTTCTTCTGGCAGGAAAAACCTACACAGAATACAGGAAAACATACCAGCCATCAATACTGGTCCAGGATGTACCATTTCTAACAATTTTAGATAATAAAACATAACTGAGCTATATTTAGATTACAGGAAAACATACCAATCATCAATGCTGATCCTGGATGTACCATTTCTGAGAATTTTCAATCATAAAACATATCTGAGGTATATTTAGATTTGCAATAAATTACAAACATTCTGGATCACAAGAAAACATATCTGGATGCTCTTTGGAAAAACAAAACATACAGGAAAACATACCAGTCATCAATACTGATCCAGGATGTACCATATCTAAGAATTTTAAATCATAAAACATATCTGAGCTATATTTAGATTTGTAATGAATCACCAACATTCAGAAAGACAATGAGGCTAAAAATAGATGCTGTAGAACCATATTCTTTCAGAAAACCTATTCTAGGGGAATATTTTATTATAGGTGGGATTTTTTAGAAACATTTTTAGAATTAAAACAGGTGGTGGACATTTCTGCTTTTTGACAAGTGGACATATCCATGCTCTACGCAATAGAAAAAAGTGGACAGGTCCAGCACAATTTGGTCAATTCTTACAGCTACATAGGTCTGGGTCAACAGGGGGCGATTGCTTGCCTTTGACTTGCCAGTGCGCTCCTTATATACTCCAGGAACCCCTATCTCTGTTTTACATGTGTTTTTATATGGGTTACTCTGGTCTGAATTACAAATATGAAATTTAATGAACATGTGGTATATTTTGTAGTCTATCTCTGGGGAACACTACAGATTTTGTAGTGTTGCATCTTTCATTTTCAAATGCATCTATGGCCCAGTTACTGATTTGACAGATGGCATCATATAATGATTAACATTTCCTGGTGCATTGATGCACATGTGTACGTGTTACCAATAGCCTTTGGTCTTTCATCATTTCCGAGTTTTTAATTAAAATGCCCTGTCTTGGCTTGTCTTTTCATTACAGAGGTCAGAAGACACTCTGGGGATGTTTTCAAATGTCTTTTTTAATTGTCAGGGGGTTCTCATTATATTTCATATAATAGAATATATCTTTTTCCCATGTTTGTACTTGTGACTTTCAGATGCATCAGTCTTTGATGCATTGGAGTAGTGCATTCTGGCAGATGCATACTCCATCTCCTTGGTGTTCAGGGTCTCGCTTCAGTGTCAGAGGGTCATTACATACACATTTACATGTCACATTGTGTTTGTAGGTTCTCCAGTTCATACCACAACATTGTTTCATGTCTACATGTTCTCTGTGCTTCCTGCAAGTCACTTGGCACCTCTCCATCTGGTGATGAGAGTGGTCTTCATCTCACTCATGTGGTTTAGGACTCACCATTTCTGAGTGCTCATTCTTTGCTGTGATTGGACAACATCCAATCTGTTCAGGACACATCCATCCCCTTCCACACAGCAATTGACTCAGTTCTCTTGAGTATCACCATCTACACCCTTCCACCAACCTCTCTGTTCATTTCTGACATGCCTTTCACCTGTGTTTACTGTGTTACAGCAACTTTTTGAGCCACCCTGGCATTTTGAGAGTGTGGGAATCTTTTTTCTTGTAGATGTCATACTGCTGTTCAAGCTTCCTCTGGCTTCAAGTTCAAGACTTCAACCTGTCCACTGTCTGCTTCCAGTCATTGAAGGCACACAGCACAGAGTCACTCATGCATCCCATCACAATCTCCCCATCCCCCATACATGTCGCACATCCATCCACTTTTTTCGACACACCCATTCTTTTGACAGCCCATGTTGACCATCTACCCATCCCTTTCAGATCTTTTTTAGTGTCCATGCATGATGCATATGCATTTTTGTAATTTTGTGTTTTCTTCTGATGGTGGAAGGTTTGGTCATGGGTTAGGCTTAGTGTTTGGAGGTTGTTGTTGAAGTGATGCAGATGTCGCTTCATTTGGGGGGGGCACATGGAGTAGTGCATTCTGGTGGATGCATACTCCATCCTCTTGGTGTTCAGGGTCTTGCTTTGGTGTCAGAGGGTCATTACATACACATTTACATGTCACATCGTGTTTGTAGGTTCTCCAGTTCATACCACCACATTGTTTTGTGTCTATGCATTCTCTGTGCTTCCTGCAAGTCACTTGGCACCTCTGCAGCATATGCAGGAATTGCTGTACAGGACTTTTCTGAATGGCTGCAAGCCATGCTAAGCCTTCATACATTTACTACTTAGTTGTAGTTTAGTCTTTTGATGTTCTGGACATTCCACTAGGTGTCCATGTTGTCTTTCTGTATATCTTGTAAAAACACAAGTTTCCACATTAAATCCATTATGTGTTTCTAAACCCTTAGTAATGCAATTCTTCTCCTTGTGTTGGGTGTTTACTCTAGAACCTCTTTGTGTTCTATTTCATGGTAGGTGAATCTTAGATAGGATCCAAGTATAATGTCATGACATGTACTGCTGCCAGTTCCAAGGCCTTTGTCCTACTTTCAGATTCCATGCATTTGCACTTTTAGTCAACTGAACCAGGTATGTTCATTGACTCTTTGTATCATTGCAATTGTACATAGTGTATTTCTTAGAGATGACCTTTTATAGGTTGATATGGAGTGTAAGAATACACCTGTAAATCTACAAATTTATGCATTTTCTCTAATAAAACCTACTATAAGTAAATACAATCACTGTGATCATAAGGATTGTTAGATACAGCCCAATCTAGTTGATTAAAGTCTTCATCCAAGAGATGTGCAGGTCTTAAGGTAGTAGGAATTGTGGTCAGCATGTGATTGGGCCACTTCAATATACTCAAAGCCTATTAAAAAGACTACACTACCATGAAATAGTTCACTATAAGAGTGTTCTCAGCACAGGGTGTTGGAGTTTACACCAAACCAGGGTTTATTTCTGATATGCATTAAACAATGTAATTCGATGAGTAACATGGGATGTCAACCAGTCACATGCTACAAAGCATGATCAAAGAAGTCATGTGGTGATATGCATCACAGGCATCAATGCATCATGTATCATGGCATCATTGAACCAGGAGTGTCAGCCTTGAGGAATATTTCAGAGCCTCCTCCCAAGAGAAAAAACTATGAGTGATTTGCTGTGCAGTCTGAGACCCATGTGCAGTATCTAATAATAGAGAGAAAATCAGTAAGCAGACCATTCGCCTCAGCTGAACTGATCATGAAAACTGTTTATGGCAATTCCCGTGTATGCATCAATGCTGATGCATTGCTTTGCCACAATAGAGAAAACACTACAAAAACTTAAAAGAAGTCAGCTCAGTTGTGCCACACGCAACTGAACCACTTCACACCTTTACTAAAAGTCATTATTTATTCATCTGACCTCTCGGATAATGCACAGACATGTAAGTATAGATAGAAAACATAGAATAGTATAAAAGGAGGACACGTGCAGGCTGAAATGAGAGGAATTATCCCCCATGTTGACCAGCTGTCACACTCCCAGTAGCATCTGAGGTAGTGGATAAGTTTCTAATCAATTACAGCTATTTGCATAAATGATGGCACAAACCTGTTTTTTTTTTTTTTTTTTTTTTTTGTAAACCCAAATATTTGTACTTAGTCAAATTTGATCATCCACCTTGAACTGCTGTCTTGTCATCTTGTTGTCTCTCCCTTTACAACAACTGTCTCTTCACTCAGATGGCTCTAGCACACAAATCCATTGATATTCTTGCTTCAGACTTGGACCTTGATGATGATGACAATGACCCTGACACAGCCATGGTACCTGAGGAGTTGGACAAGCCAGTGCGGCTGCCCAGTCCTCCTGCAACTGTTGCAAAGGTCCAGAAGTGGAAACATCAAGAGAATGGTATGCCGACTCCTGTATTGGTGTCTATTGCTATCCAAACCCAGAGACCAATGCTCATCTCCCCCTCAATCATGAGCAGCTTGATTGTTGAGCTGCTGCAATGGTATGTGACGTCTGTTTTGTACTTAGGACTGCTTACCATTTCTCACCTCCAGCTCAAGGGTGAAGAGTCAGCAATCTTGACCAAGCTGCCAAACCACAAGCTTTTTGACATGAAGAGAACAGCACTGGTCCAGGGTATGCTGTACACCTGGGCATCTAAATGATTCCTACTCAGTAATCAAAGACCAGCAGCATACGAAAACTCATAATAACTAATTCAAGATACTGCAGGAAGCCCCTCTTTGTCATCAACCCTTCCACGACAGTCCCTGAGATGACTTGGTCAAGGGTGAGCAACCCCTCAGTGGATGTGTGGCATCCTCGAACAAAATGTTGCTTCTTCTTGGCACGCCTTCCCTTCCTGGTAGTGTTTAAAGGTTCAGTCCATAGGACCGCAAAAAACCGGTGGACCGAACTGAACCGGACCATGGTCCGGTCTTTTTTTCGGTTGCAGTTGCCCCAATTTGGGGTTGGTCCAGTTGCTGGTTGCCTCATTTCGAAAATCTTTTAAAACCATTCAAAGGCCGGTTTTAATCGGTTGCAACCGGTTAAACGGTCACGTGCGTTACATAGCCTTGTAACCACGTTTATTGCATTTTATTGGGTTTTTGTTTCATCAAAAACGGTTAAGAATTGAGAAAGATATAACCAAATCCATATTTTACCCAAGTCTCTAGGAGATGTAATTCAGTTTCAGTCATAGCTATGTCAAATCTTCATTAAATCTCTTGAAAATTGGTAGAATGACGGGTATTTATATGCTTTACTATTTTATATAACCCATTTATTTTTCAGAGTAATAATGGTTGAGATACAAATCGTTTATATTGGTATAATAAATTATACGCAAAAAAACCGGTCTGGATCGGTCTGAACTGGTATCATGGACCGCAAAAGACCGGTCCTAGGTGGTTCGGTTCGGTTCCCTCAATATATGGGTCGGTCCTGGACCGGTTGCGGTCCACGGTTGCGCGTTTTCAGGGCAAAAAACCGGACTGAACTGAACCTTTAAACACTACTTCCTGGCCCTTCCATACTGCCTACCCACAGACCTTGCATCCTTCGAAAATTCATTGAGGAATCTGATCTCTTCAGGTGCATACTGAGCCATCCTAGAGATGAAGGTGGCACGTCACTCTTCATTGCATTCCAATGCAATCTTTTTGAGCTTCTTGCTGCTAATGCCTGCTCACTTGAGCTCACAGTGAATTGTCACATAATGCACTGAGATGAATTGGTTTGTTTCCAGAAGATGTAGGAGCTCATCAAGGAAAGTCAGGGTTTTGGCAGACGAGTGCTAACAGATAGCCGAGGTCATCATGATCCAAGTTACATACATGGCTGTGCAAGCTTGCCCTTGGTGGAAGAACATTGCTGGTAGTATTCCACAGATGCATAATTCAGTGCCAAGTCTGTTTTGAAAAGCTGCAGCAATTGAGAATATCATGAAGAGGGAGCATATTACATTCGTAAAGGTGGATAGCAGATATTTTGATGTCTCGGCTGATCTTTCTGAACATGTTGGTTGTGAGGAAGATTGATAATTAGGCAGACAGTTGATGTGAAACAACTTGAAGCACAAATTTCAGTGAAGGACAAATGTTTGTAATTTTTTAAAAAAAATGACATTTGTGTCATCATTTATGCAAACAGTTGTAAAAGGACTTTTCTTCGTGGACATAAGTAAAGTGTGCCCAGAACCAGTGTGTTAAGTGAGGATCACTAAGCTTTTGTAAGGTTGTCTTGTCAGTTAGTAAGAGAGCTCTCTACTAATTCTGAGGAATCCACTTGAAGAGTCTTAAAGACTAGTTTTGAATCTTGATTGAATCAGAGGCATAATAAGAGCTCAAGGGAGTTACAAAAAGTCTACAAAAGCACAGTTTCCTTGTCATTTCTTCATATAAAGTCAGAACACAATCCCAGAACACTGAGACAGTCCCAATGAAAGCTGTTTCCCTTCAAAGACTATTAAGTTTCGAATTCTATACTTGTGCCTGCACATAAAAACAATATCATTTGTACCAAAAGGTCTACTAGACTTAGACAAGTGTTATAAAATATACAGAACAGTTTCTTGAACTTCTACTTTAAGTTCTAACAAAACAAGTGTGGTAATTCTGTTTACCATATGAACCTGAACTTGAAGCACTGAGCATGTACCTGCGGTGATAAGTGTTTAAGGTGTTAGTGTGTGTGTGTGTTGTTTAGGTGTTCACACATCTTGTCAGCATGTCTGATTGCACTTTCCCCACTCCCATGTGACAGTCTTCTCAAGGTAAAATTGTTAAATTGAATTTTATACAGATGAAATGGTTTCTTCCATATCAATGGAATGAAATATATCCAATCCACACTTTTTCTGATCCTCAGCTTCCTCACCACCCTTGTCCAACCTCGATGCAGCATGCAAACTTCAATGTGAAAGGCTTCTACAAATCTGTATGTTGTATAAATGGCTTCAAAGTTCCATCCAACATCTTTGTGACCTCCACATCATTTGACAGTGATCTTGCAGGTGACAGCCACTGGATGCAACAGGTACAGCAACCCCAATTTCCACAGGATCTGCAGGTGCTACTGCTGCACTTTTGACCCAGACGGCCCAAAGATGGCCAGAACAACATTGAAACTTGCAGGCTGCAGGCCATTGCTTTGCATGGCAATATGAGTCCTAGATCTCAAGCTTTCCAATGATATAATTTTTCTGATATATCATGCCAGCTATATAAGCAGCTACAGAAAGTAGGCTGTTGCCAGATTCCCATGTGCAGGATTGTCCTCTGCTTGTACAAAAGGGCTTAGACAAACATGTATCAAATTTGAACTACAGCACAACACACCTTGATACACAGTGACAAACTGTTTACAGTGTTTTGCATGTGAGATTGCACTGCAAATCCCATGAAAACTTGTTTGCATTTGTATTTCATGACCTGAAGTAACCATTTTGGGTTGATTTTGGGCAAGGGGGTGGTGGAATGTGGATCTAATACACTGGCTTGGCAGAGGGGGGGGTCCTGCTGAAGGAGGTCTTATCAGTGCCCCCCTAATTCCTGCAGGAATCCAGTCATTCCTGCAGATTCTGGTGGATTCCAGAGGAATGAAATTTAGCAGGGAGGCCTGCTATTTTCATCATTCCAGTGCCTTACCATTCCGGTGGAATTTGGGCATTCCGGAATTGACACCGGAATGTTCCGCAGGAATGGCAGGAACAGAATGCAATGGAATCTGGTCAGTTGTTTGTTTATTTTACCTTTGTTACCAAACAAAGACAACACCCTTTCCTTTCCTCCCACCACCAACCATCATCTTCCCTGCCACCTCCATTCCCCCCCACCAACCAAGTTGACATCAGCGACAAGCACGACAATGCCACACCACCCAACAATGGCCACAACAACGCAAACACGCTAGGTGGACAACAAGGCAACAGGACGATGATGAACGATGATGACAAATGTCGTTGTTCATCCTAATAGTCCGTCCCCCCCAATCTCAGCTCACTGGCATTGCAGGTCCAAATGGACGACAGTGTGGCACCACCACCCACCAAACTGCCCCAGCACTCACAGAACAACATCCAGCACCCACATAACACACCCACAACACACAATGGCACCATGTTGCCCATGAAGACACCCCACCGCTCATGATAGCCGCCCAGCACCCACAGAACAACACCCGGCCACGATGGCACACAACAGGACCGCCCTGCCCATGAAAACACCCCAGCGCCCATGGAACAATGCCCAGCGCCCACAACAGCATCACCCCACCCACGAAAACACACCAGTGCCCACGGAACAATGCCCAGTGCCCACAATGGCACCTTGTCACCCACAAAAATGCCCCACTGCTCATGATAGCTGCTTAGCGCCCACAGAACAACACCCAGGGTGTACGATGACACACGATGGCACCACCCTGCCCATGGAACAACACCCAGCACCCATGATGACACCACCCCACACACAAATCGATGCCCAGCGCCCACAGAACAATGCCCAGCTGTCCACGAAACTCAACCCGGCACCCACATACACCGCCCAACACCCAAGAAACAACAGCAACCAGGCAGCACACCACCATCAGGCGAGCATGACAATCCAACACAACAGTGCCCACCAAACACCATGATCAGGGGGGCCATTTTTCAGTTCCATGGCACTCTTGTTCATCAATACAGCTACACACAATTCGAGATGGTGGGGATCCCACCCACCATCTCCTTTTTTTATTTATCAATCAGGCAATGGGGAGGACCTCTTTTTAGTTATGATGACAATATTTGTCGTCGTTCGTCCATGCTGCTACACACTTTGTTTTTTTCTTGGGCATAAGGTGTAGAATTAATTAATTAATTAAATTAAAATTTCCTAAATTGAAAACAGGAAACCCTATGCCCTGCTATAAGAGTATGTGGTGAGATTCCACTTTCCTCCCACGTCTTTCTTCCACCCCCACTTTGTTCTTGCCATCCCATTTCGCTTTTTTACCCTCTAACCTTTGTCTTTACTATTATGAGTGCCCGAGAGCTTTGTTCCTTACAAGCTGGGGTGGCTTCTCCTCCCAAATGAGGCCAGAAACATGAGTGAGGATGAGGGGAGTGGTGAGGGAGAACCAGCAGCTGTGAAGAGCACTATGAGAAAGGGAAAGGTTGGTAATAAAAAGGGGAAAGGAGCAAGGTATGCGGCTGACCTGATATCAGTACTTGTGTGCTGACTATTCTATTTAGGATGACAGGTGCCCAGTGAGCAGCCAGTGACTAGGCTGAGAATGATAAGGGCATCCCAGCTAAACTGACACCGTGAGCTTTTGACTTTTACTTTTATTTGATTATTTCTAATGCCATATTGAGAGTGTTGAACGAGCTCTTGAATCTGCCAACACTTCTGTTGCACCTCCCAAGCGTACTGGCCGCTCATCCACTTCCTTCCTCCCCCCTGGTCCTACTGTTTCAAGTAGCCATCCATGTATCAATTGCAAGCCTGCAGTTACTGCCACAGGTGAAGAAACTGGTGAGGAGAGCAATGGGGAAGATGGCGAGGAGAGCAATGGGGAAGGTAGTGATGTTGGTGAGGCTAAAGGTAATACTCATTTTATTATTGTTGTTTTATCTGTTAATTTATTTTCAGATGTTGATAAATTGACAAGCCATGATCAGTTGGTCGAAGGTAATATTTTGATTTCAACTGGGTCACTTTAGTCATTTATTATACTTGTCTAGCTATTGACCTTTCTGCAAAGGAGAAGGAGGTTGTTCGATTTGGCCCACCAAGAGGCCGTCATCAGACCAAGTCCAGTTCTAATCATCCTGAGCCCATCACTGAAGGTTTTACTTATTTTATTATTGTTGTTCCATATATATATTATTTTTTCTAGATGTTGATAAATCTACAAGCCATGATCAGTTGGTCAAAGGTAATATTTTGGTTCAAAATGGTTATTTCAGCCATTTGATAGACTTGCCTGGATATCAATATTTCTGGTCTTGCACCTCCTGAGCAGGAAGAATCTGCTAATGGGTCTTCACATTCTACAGGAGGTGTGTTGTGTGGGTGTGCTCTTGGGAATACTTTCAATATAGGTGATCCCATTGGTGAAGTTCCCCAAGACATTGCACCTCTTGCCATTGGCCACATTAATGTTACTATTGTGCAACAACCCCCTTCGGATGCTGTCATTGAGAACGCTACCTCACTTCTGAATGTCAGATCCCCCTGCTATGACACTTTAGGCCCAATTCTGAAAAAGGTTGCAAAGTCCTATTCTCCTGTGCACAGTAAGTACTTTATTATTTATGGATATAAATTGTGTAACAAAGCTTTGTCCCAGAACATAATTATCATGTCTATATTTTAGATTACAAGCAGTGGTCTATCATGGGGCATTACAATGTTGTAGTTGAGGAAGATGAGACTGCTGTTTGGGAGGAGGATGAGACTGGTAAGGTGACACATATTCTTCTGGTAGGTTTTATTGCTTGTTCTTGATTTCAATTTAGCTCAAATTATATCTAGGAAAAGGACCATGAGCAGGTGGTTGTGGAACACTACTGATCGTTAGTGCTGCTAAGGTAGTGGGACGGCTGTTGGAAGGTCTAACGGACAACACAACCAAAGGTGTGAAGACCCTTGAAGTAGGTCATGCAAAGTAATTGATTAGACACTGGGAGCCGTGGAATGCGACAGTTCACAGTACCCATGCTCCGATCTCCACAGACAGTCCTGTTGGAGAATGCTCTAATCAATTATAGTAGTTGAGACATCTCTTTTGTATGTTGATGCGCGTTGCATGGGGATGAACGTGAAAGTGCGAAACACGCAAACAAGGATCAAGTGTGTTGGGGAAAACCCTAAACACCTTAACACACACACACACACACACACACTATCACAATCTCAGTGCACGAGTTCGAGGGCCTTTGGTATTAAGAAATACCACTTTTGTCTTCTTAGGTTTAAGTCTCAAGAGTTTTTGTCTCAAAACGGGGTTTTATTATTGGGTGTGGTATTAGAATAGTTCAATAGAACAAAGTATGTCTTTCGGGGAACCTGGTTGCTCAAATGTAAAGTTCTTGAACACAGTTATCTTTATTGACACGAAACACAGATTTATCGGACTTTTATAACTCCCTTGAGCTTTTTATTATGTCACTACGCTCCAAAACTGGTGATACAAGTACACTGTCTTGTCTAAATGATACTGTGCTTAAAACCTCTTATTCAAGTCTCCAAGTAAGTTGACTCCCAAGCACGCTGGCTTTGTTCACACTGTACTTTGCTGACCACGAAGAAATCTCCTTTAATTGATTACAACTGTCCACCTCCTAAGTCTCTACTTGGAGTGCAACTAGCTGGTCAACGGGGGACAATTGCTTCCTTTTGACCTGCCAGTGCGCTCCTTATATACTCCAAAAACCCCTATCTATGCTTTTACATGTGTTTTCTATGGTTATGTATCGGTCCGAAATACAAATAGCTTTTTAATGATTGTGTGGTATAGTTTATAGTGTCTCTCTTGTGGTACACTACAGTTTTTGTAGTGTTGGTATCTTTTCTTTGTCAATCGCATCAGTGTTTGATGTGTATGCAGAACAATCCGGTTTTAATTATATCTAGTCCAGACTGGTTCCGCATGCTTCTTTATCATGGGCTCGGCTACTAATTTGACATATCATGTCATTTCAGTGATGGGCGTGCTGATGCGTCTGATACGTATGCAGACACACTGCTGGCTTCTTTATTTCTGGAGGTCGTTAATTTAAAATACCTCAGCACGGTTTCTGTTATCATATGGAGATCGGATGGCACTCTGAAGAGCTTCAAATGACTTTCTTAATTATCAGGGGGTCTCCAGGATGGATTACCTAATGTCTTTCCAGGTTTGCGCATCACGTGTCTTGGACGATACAACACATCACTCTTTGATGTGTATGCGGGTATTGCCGTACTTGATGTTTTACATGGCCGCAAGCCACGCTTGGTCCTCGTACATACACTACATAGTCACAGTATAGTCTTTCTAGTAGTAGAACATTATTTCATAATGTCGACATGTAGTTTATCCTCTAGAAGTCTTTGAAGTATTATCGCAGGATAAAAGTCTGGGTTTCCATATTAAAAATCCATTACATGTTTCTAAACCCTTGGTAGTAATGCAATCTTGTCCCTGCGTTGGGTGGTTTACTCTAGAGCTTCTTTATACTCTATTTCATGGTGGGTGAATCCTAGATAGGCTCCAAGTATAATGTCATGGTGCATACTGCTGCCAGCTCCAAGGCCTTAGTCCTATGTTCAGACTTGACGCATATGCACTTTTAGTCTACTGAACCGGGTATGTTCAAAGACTCTTATATCATTGCAACTGTATATAGTGTATGTACAGAGAAGACCATTTTAATGGTAAAATTGCGAAAATCGGATTTTATATGGTTGAATACATTTCACCTGTATCAACGTAATTTTGACCAACTGTTCAGCTGATGTGACACGTGATGGCCCCAAACAGATGGGAGGGGTGTTCGGAATTGGGATGACTGTGTGACATAGCAACAAAAGTGTTTGGCCAGCAGCAACTGTTCATTGAGCAGTTGACATGGCACGTAGTAGTGGCCTCCTTGCCTCCTTCACAGCCTCCCAGATTAGTGAATGGTATATAATTTTGTCATAAATGTACACTGCGCAGTGGAAAAATTGAGTTTTCGGGAGACTTCCCTTTTGATGGGTGGTATACACTTTCCTAGAAAGCCTACAAGACTGGCCTCCCTGTCAGAATGGACTGAAGATGAATTTATGGCAGCTTACAGATAAGGACGCGTCACTTCAAGGCTATGTCCGGATCCTGATATTTCTGCAATCTGCAGAGGGAGTTCTTCTCAAAATGGAAGCTGAAGCCTATGTAGTTCTGGACATGACGGTTCCTATTTTGTTGGGAGAAGACTACCATTTGAATTATGAACTCATCATGGCCCACAAAGTAGATTTCCGCTCGGTTATTAACTTCGCAGGAGTTCCCTATTCGGTCCCAGCCCAAGGAGTCAGCAGAACCAGAGACTTTGAGAGAATGCGACAGAGCACATGCGCAGTGGCTAGCTTCATCAAAGCAAAGTTTCACAAGCGGAATAAGGCCAAAAAAGCGAGGAGGAGTAAAAGCTTTGGCATTGAGAAAAGAACCGTTTGAGCTGCAGAGGACTACTGCCTCCATCCAGACAAATGCCGTCGGATCAGGGTAGATGGTCACTTTGAAGAAGACAAGACTTGGCTAGTTGAGAAGAACCTTCTAGCTGCTGCGGACGATTTGATGTTTGCTGTGCCTAATGTACTCATTTCTGCATAAGATCCCTGGGTCCCAATTTCAAATCCATCACCTCATCCTAAGACGATCAGAAAAGGCAACATAGTAGGGTACTTAACTGACCCACAGGAGTATTTCGACACTCCACAAACACCTGGAGATCTGGAGTAGCTAACAAAAATGGAGGTCTTTACCTTCCCCGGGTTATTCCGTATGGAATCCATGAAGAATTCCATATGGAATCCATGGAATCAATGTTGGCTGAGGACCCAGTGAGTTTCTTATTCCATAGACATCATGGATTCCATATGGAATGATGATGGAATGGTCATGGAATGATTAATTCCATATGGATTCCAATGGATTCCATATGGAATGCAGGCATATCCACATTGGACTCCATGGAGCAGTCCATATGGATTCCATGGAGCAGTCCATATGGATTCCATGGAAGACCATTGTACCATTAGAATACATATAAATATAGTATTTATAGTGTCCTTACTATATTTAAGTAAAAATTAATTTTTGCACCAGTGAGAATTGAACCCTCAACATCGTCAACAAGAGTAGTGCTCAATCCAACTGAGCTATAAGGGCTTTGTTATATAGCAAAGTAAAGGTAACTATATACTGCCCTCGGGCACGTGGCATCTCACGCATGACAGCTGTGGCTGAAGCGCTGCCACGCCGTTTCTTCCTTCCCCACCACCACCATCTACCACCCACCACCACCGCGAGCGCCCACCACATCGACAACGACGACATTGACGACACGCGACGACGCTGACGACACACGACGACACACAACCTCGTCACCCGACCACAACGACAAGCGCTGAGGAGGTGAGACGACGTGGCAGATGTGCCACGTCGTCCAGACGGTGACAACGCAAGCCGTCGTCACTGTCCATGCCAGGTAAGTGCACCCAGCACTGTTCTTTCCCCATCCCATCTCACACCCGATGCAGGTGTCACGTCGCTATCCTGCGACGTGGCAACGATTCAACTGATGACTCACCAATACGCGACACGACAAAACGGCACAACAACAACAGGACGACACCAACGGGGACGAGGACGGTGCCACCAACACGACGCAAGAGCGACCCCGCATCAGCGAACACACCCAACGAGCCCCAGCGCAACCAACCACGACCCAGCGCCCACAAACGGCAACCAGAGCCCAGCGCCCACACACGACGACCCAGCGCCCACACGGGGCCACATCACCAATGCGAGCGCCCACGAACGACAACGAACACCCACGAAAACAACACCACAGCAGCCCAGCGCCCACGAACGACATTCGGCACCAACAAAGGACAACACGGCGCCCAAAAACAAGAATGCGCCCGCAAACGACAACGCCCAGGGACAGCAACGACCCCCCGACTCGCGGACGACGCAACGACCACCACAACGCCTGAGTGCCCACGACGACCCCCGCTTATTAACGGAGACGAAAGTGAACGGACACGGGCAATGACGAGCCCAGGTGAGCTCCCCATCCCTCCATCATTCCACCCTACTCCCTCCCCCTCCATCCCCCTCCTCCCATTGCTCCCTTTCCCCTTGCTCTCCTTCCCATTGCTCCCCCTCCCATTTCCCTCCTTCCCTTCTCCCCTTGCTCTCCTTCCCTTTGTTCCCCCCTCCCTCCAGTGCCCCCCTCCTTACCACTCTCCCCCTCCTCACTCTCCACCACACCCACTCCTCTCCCTCACTTCCCCCTCCCTCTGCCTCTCCCTTCAATATCTAATGTAGTAAAATAAATATATGTAGTCCTATTCAATACAATTTAATTTTTCTTGAGCAGTTATTAGTATGAATAAGTGTAGAAGTGTAATTCCCAACTTGACAACCTTTCAAACAGCCAGCCCACTTGCTAAGTTGGAACTTAGCATGGATTCCAACTGGAAATTGTATGGAATCCATCTCAAAAAAGTATGGAATCCATCTTAAAAAAGTATGGAATCCATCTGGAAAAAGCATGGATTCCAACAACCAAAGTATGGAATCCATCAACCATTCCATGGAATCCATCTGGGGAAAGTATGGAATCCATCAGCCATTCCATGGACTCCATCGACCATTCCATGGAATCCATCTGGGGGAAGTGTGGATTCCATCCAGTCCATATGGAATAACCCGGGGAGGGTAAAGTATTGCAAAAATGATGGAAGCCTATGGTCCAAAAACTGCCAAGCTCCCAGATCCGATGGAGTACCCCTCCACAAGATGTGAGAGTTCCTAGACATTGGGTCTCTTCCCAAGCATTTACAAGAAAAAGCTTGGGAGATGTTAGAAAGACACAAAAAAGCATTTGGTTTCAACGGCCGCTTAGGTCATCATCTGAGCAAAATCCATATTAGGACTGTGGATGGACAAGTCCCCATAGCCATTCCTATGTACAGGGCATTGCCGGAAAAGAGAGTGGTCATGGACGAGCAGTTGAATAAATGGTTTGAACAAGACGTGATAGAACCATCTAAGAGTCCATGGAGTGCGCCTGTCGTAATTGCTTACCATAACAGCAAACCACAATTCTTTAGTTTTTGTAGTCTTTTGTAGTGTATCAGTAAAATTTGTAGTGTATGTCCGACTTTTGTAGTCTTTTGTAGTCTGTGAAGCGTTCACTCTGAACTTCTCACATAGCTGAAGCCAAGAGGGAAGGAGGAGGCAAGAATGGGTGGATCTAGGATCAACACCCATGAGTGAGCAATGAGCAGTTACAAGATACTCAGCTGGCCCAACATGATTATGCATACTGTAGGAAGTACAGATATACAAAGCACTACATATAGTGCAAGAGGATGGCAAGACTGCTGACAAGATGGTGGTTCAAGACAAAAGATCAATATATTACTTGCGGGCTGTGGGCCATTGCTTCGCATGGCAGTACAAGTCCTGGTTTTTTTAACCACCACCACCGTGTTTGCCTCTAAAGCTCCAATTACGGACCATGTGAGGCAACTTCCAATTCCTGGCTGATACACAAGGCACACTTTAGAAAGTCTAGTATGTTGATTTTTTCCCTACCACCATTGTATCTGCCTCCATTCTTTCATCGTGTTGTCCTGCGTGCAATTATTTACAGCATATTTTCAATAATGACTGTATGATCAGCTTCCATCTCGGATACGTTATCTGCTGCATATTCCACTGCATCGTCAATCTCCTTTCATAAGTCATCTATCTCCTTCCTAAAGGTGTCCACTTGGGCCAGTAAGTCGTGCACACGTCTTTTGAGTTTCTGTGCCGTGCTTTTTAAACCGCCGGCTTTTTCTAATGCAGTAGGAAGTAGTGTGTTGATGATGTTGGTACGTTGTTGATGTGCAACCCTGAGACGTAATTTGTGATTTTGTGTACCTATGATAGGGAATGTGTTAGCAATGAACACAATTTTTTTTTAGACCAGCAACCTATACTTGTATCTTGCTCAGCGGCGGCAGCTTCAAGCTCCAATTGCAAGTTGTGTTCATCTAAAGCTTCGTCAGCTGTCTTATCTGCCTTTTCAAAGTTTTCGAAGGCCTCGGTAAATTTCTCTGCTGCATTGAGAAGGTTTGTCCAGTCGAAACCTAAGTGATCGTGTCTCAATTCGGAGGCAAGGTGCTGTATTTTTTGCTCGAAGATGGATGGGTGGATTTCCATTTCCATGGTAGTTCGGTAATATGGATCGACTTAATGAAAAAAATTTAACAGCACAAGAGCGCAAACATGTGATTGTCAAGGTCTCCCAACGTCATACAAATGATGAGTCTATGCACGCGAGCGAGGAAACATATGCAAATAATCGGTTATGGCGAACGTAAACGCCTTGGGGGTTCAAGTGCATCCAGGGGATTTACATAGTCGATGAACTTTCAAATATAATATTGGTGTTTCAGCGCATGGAATGCTATTCCTCAGGTGCTACTGTTTGTCAAGAAATATGATACAAATATGATACTGTTCGTCAAGAAATATTGTTCAACAAGAAATACAAACTCTTCACTGCTCCTCCTCCACCTCCCTGTTCCACTCCTCCGGCTCCCCATTCTGCAAGGGAAAGGCACCTGAACTCATCTCCACGTCCGCACTCATCTCACACAATTCCCTGCCGTACCTTGCCAACGTCTTCATTATCATCGCGAAATACACCAACCCAATCACCAAGACCCCCGTGACAGCCACCCGTGGACCCAGACCCGCCGTTGTGTTTAACAGTGGGGAAGAATCGTTCACTGATCCGTCAAGCCAGACGAATGAAATGATGGATGCGAGGAAGAGGAGCAATGACCTGTTGGAAAATAAATAAAGTGTCAGGCCGATGATGGAATCTGGAGGTAAACAATACCAAGACGTCGATACCGCTGGCATTGCCAGTAAAACATGAACATTCCACCATGTAGCGGAACTTGTCCCCCTTACTTCCTACCAGCAGCCGAATCGGTTAATATTAATTTTTTCCCTTTATTCTTGAACACAAACACGCACCTCTTCCCATTTCGATGATCGAAACATGCTCCTCATTGTCCCAAATCTCATCATATATAGATATCCATATACAAGACCCATCAATGCACATATCAAAGAAAGTTGCGCAATGTTCTTCGTAATAGGGTCATTGGACGCTTGGGGTATTTGCAATAACGTTAAAATAGCACTACGATGTTACTTGTTTTTAGCTCTACCGCACTTAAAAACAGAAAATATGACGCACAATATCAAAAAAGCAGATGCGCTGTTCAGTATTTCCCAATCCTTCGACAATGAGTCCAAATTCGAATCCGTCCCAGCGGTCCTCGAATGGTTCGGTGTCCATTATGTCCGCTTTACAAGCTGTGGCGTGAGCGTGACACAGTATCACTACCCCCAGGCGTTGTAGTAATGTTCGCCTGCCAGAGACGCATCTTCGTCAGTGTGGATAGAGCAGGACGCTTAATTTCGTATGACGTTTGGCGAGGTATCCTTGCAGCTGTGTATGTAGACTTATTCCGCGTGTTGCGCTCGGGTTTGGACGTCTTCGCTATCATCGTTTTCAATATTGCTGACCTCCTGTTCCGTAATGAGGGTACATTGTCATTCTGCCTCTGCTTGCTTCCATCTGTGGGAGGGCGATTTCACTGTAAACAAGAAGATGTGTTGATGAACAGCTATTTATAACGCTGGTCGCTTTCCGCACGTTTATCTGGATGTACGATACATGAAGAGGGAGTAGAAGTTGTGAAGGATTTGCGGACATGGTCGTTTTGGTGCGCAGCAAGTCTATGCAGATGAGATATATTGCCCCGCAGTCCTGCATTGTTAGGACGTGGATAGTGTGGTCAGTGTGCACAACGGTCCAAAAAAGGCACTAAATCTGCGAGAAAATCATACATTGGTCGAGAATATAGTCATAACGTAAGACTTACGGTAGCATGCAATTGGGAAAGCATCTCCGACTTCACGCGTAAGCGCTATCTGCCCTGGCTCGGGTTTCGCATGTCCTCAGACATGTGCGACAGTTTCTTTTCTTGGGTATCGGTTAAATTCACATACGTTCAAGAGCTGGATTTGACGCAAATGGTTCCCCCAGACCCGAACATGTGGACCTGGAGATTAGATGCGTTGTGGGACTCGTGTCCGGAGTTGCAGTCATCAGGGTAAAAACCTACCAGTGGCCTGCGAAAAAAGTCAAGCAATATTTTAGTGAATGAAGTGGGCTGGTATATGTCCCTTGAAATTTATGGCATCCATAGGCGAGGGGTAAGTTTTACTCATGTGGATTTCTTTGGTGATAGCGCAGAACGGACACACCGTTGTATAAAATATATGCTCCATGATGCGAGTATCGGATATTGTTCTAACCTTTGCTAAACCTCACATAAGTTGAGATGAAAATCAGAAAAAGGTTTGAGAAACTTGAACAGACACAACTTCAAACTCCTTCTTATCACTGTCAGTGACGTTCGCCTGAAGCCCAGCAACCGATTTCCCAGCCGTGCGATGAACAAGGGCGGCTGAGACCGCAGCTGTATGTCCGCCAATCATCAATTACCCTTTCCAAACTTTGATCCTCGAGCAGGAAGGGGACAAACCAAACATGGCAGTGAGGAAAACAATCCCACCAGACTAACACTCATTCCATGGCACCAGACCCCTGCTTCACCATCAGAGTATCGTTTGAAATTGCCTTCATGAGGCGCTTGTGTTGAGACCAAGATTCCTACCGCTGCGTTGAATCGGAATTCTATCAAATAATACTACTCATTCAAGGAACCCCACTCACCTAGCCTTAGCCATGTGATACTCAATACAGTGAAGGTTGTATAAAACTCAGCACAGCCTCCAGAATCACAAGTCTCGGAATGTTGTTTTTGCCCAGCCGAAATGGGTAGAGCCACAGCAAACCACTTTGTGCAGTCAAGCGATGAGTCCATCGCCTGCAGCGCAATGATATTTTGTGGTGACGATAACAGCGAGCTGTCCACCGATGTTTGTGGCCAATGCGATTGATTGCCAAATGCTGAGGTCTGTTAGTGTCCACAAAATGGGCTAGAGAGAGGCACGTTGGTTTCGGTGGAAAACAATAATAATGGAGGTCAGATGATACCTATGTATCAGGGTGAAGCACAGCGTGGAGGCAGCAACATCACTAGGTTAACCATGAACATGAGTAAGAGTGAACAGCTTATGACCATGAGGAATAGATATCACCTGATCCACATGCTGGCGAAACGCGACACGCCCATGAATGCAAGCAGAACGGTGCTTGGGTGGTAATGTGAGAACGCGAGTGATCAGTGCTCGGTCAAAATTGGTCTTGTTGGGGCAGATGAAATGGTAAAGCCTCCAATTGATAGCATGATCGTTGGTGAGAACATGATGGAAAAAAACATATCTGAAAAAGATTGAGAATGAGATCCCTGAGATGCGGGTTTGATCATGACATACTTTGTGGCAGCAGGCGTCAATAACTGTCCATCACCTTCGTCACGGATGACTCTAAGAAGAACTAAAAGCAAAGGAACACAGATAGACGTGACAAATAAGGGGATGGCCTGGATGAATGTCTAGTCAGGGAAATTTCAGTAAAATGTCACAAAACCAGACCTCTGTAACCCAAATAATAGTGCAAAAAACAAGGATCGCAAAGCATCAATTAGCTTCGAAGCCTTCCACAGACTGAATGTTCAAAAGTAGGGCAAAGACAGTGACACCAATGGCCATAAGTATGTGCCTTTTCTTGAGCTCGAACTTGCCAACAGAAGTTGGGATGTTTAGCAGCGACGGCTCAGGCTCCTGAACAAGTGTCGCACCAGGTGGTATTGTCGGATCGGCCTCTCCCCTCCTCTCACGACCGATCTCCGTTGCCATTTTCTTCTTCATTATCTGCTAGTGGAGGAGTGTTGGTGCTGGTGGACGTGATACTGACTTCAGAACCAAATGTTCTGGTCGTTGTCACCATGGCGGTCTTGCGCGTAGTGGCTGTACTTGGAATATGACAAACAATGACAAATTTTGAACTGAAAAGTGGACGTCCACTTTTCAGTCTAAAATTTGTAGATGTTTGGTTGGTCCCCTCGGAAAGACAGGTCGCCGAATAGTGGGCATTCAAGTTCTTGACGCTGGAAGCTACTTACTTGACAGTCAGTGATGGTGACACAGGGTGAGAAATGTCGCTGTCATTACCACCGGCATCATAGGCCGTCACCCTGAACAACAATGCGAGAACCACCAATAGATCACCCATCAACAACAGCAGTGGCGAGTGGTAGCTACCACTTTTATGATAAAATACAGGCAAGTGCCTGCACACCGACATCCACACTGCCTAATGAATTTATGAAATGAGAAGAGTAGGTAAAACTTATGAAGGGTATTTCATTTCTTTACCAGTGCTTCTCATGACTATTTCATAACTGTCCTGAGACATATTTCAATACTACTTCATTGCAATTTCATTACTGCCTGGCCTTCCATTTCATTGTCTACCCAGCATTGTTTCATTGCTATTTCATTCTTGCCTGACTTTTAATTTCATTGCCTACCCAGCCTTATTTCATTGCCTTTTCATATCCTTGCCTGGGCTACTTCATATTCATTTCATATCCCTGCCTGGACAATTTCATATCCCTGCCTGGGCAGTCTCATATCCCTGCCTGGGCAATTTCATATCCTTGCCTGAGCAATCTCATATCCCTGCCTGGG